ATTAAATTAGTTTATAAATATAAAAAATTTTAGTAATTTATTTATTTATAAATATATATTTATTATTATAATATGTTGAGATTTACTTTTGATCACCAGTGGTAAATATAACTTGTAGTGAATTTAACTGTTAATTTATTATATAAAACTATATAACACAAAAATACTAATATATAAAATACTATGAAACGTGATTTGCAGATCTTATATAAATACCAAATTGCAAAAATCATACTAGTTATTTTTATACCATATTCTAGTTAGGTATTTAATATCGAAGTTTTGAATTTTAGTATTGCAGTTTATTTCAAAGCTAACGAGATATTGCAAGGTTGTATTCAATATTGAGGTTGTGTATTACTGTTGAGGTGGTGAGGTGAAGTTACGTTCTAGTTATAAGATTATATATATTTTAGTAGAAAGTCACATTCTAGTTGCAAGATCAAACACCATTCCAAAAGGAAGTCACATTCCAGTTGCAAGAATATATACTATTCCAGTAAGAAGTTATATTCTAGTACTAAACAATTTTTTTAGCAAACATTTGAGTCATATTCAATTGAAACTATTTTTTTTTTTTGTTTACAAGAATATTAGCAAACAATTTTTTTTTTTGTAAAGACGATCAGGTTAGTATTGGTTTATTCATTTACGATAAAAAAATTGTGTTATACTTTTATAATTACTAATATTTAAGTTTATTTACAAGGATACTGACTATAATTATTTACTACTTGCATATAGATATATAACGCTATAATGAACAATAAATATTCAATTTTTGAAGTAGGCTTAGAAGAGGATACTTCAGACGTTAATGAATCACAAAAGTCTAAAAATGAAAGTATAGTTTCTGAAACAAATAGTAAGATAGACAAAAGTGTGGAAGAAAATAGTGAAATAGATAAAAGTGTAGAGGAAAATAGCAAAATAGATGAAAGTATGGAGAAAAATAGTATGTTGTTTGGACTTAAAGTAGGAGACAAATTTATGAATTGAGATGCTGCTGAAAGACAAGTTCAGAACTATATGATAGAAGTTGGGTTTAATTTAGTCAAATGTCATCTTGAAAAGAATAAACATGGTGAAATTATATATTATACATTTGAATATAAGAATTCAGGTAAATATCAAGCAAAAAAAAATGCTAATAATGAAGATATTTGTGAATGTAAAAATGCAAAGATGAATTGTTCTTGGAGGGTCAACTTTAATTTATCTGGTGGTGCTGTATATATTACTTTATTGAATGAAGTACATAATCATTCATTATATAAGAACATACAAGATATCTCATCAAAACATCGTTACCTTAGCACTGAAATATTTAAAAAAGTTGAATTTCTTGTAAATATTAGCTGTGAAGCTGATATAATAATTCATGAACTCCAAAAACATTTTCCTGATGCAATAATACATTCCAAAAATATATATAATGCAATTTACCTTTTTAAACATAATTAATATTTAATTAAAACTGATGCTTCTGAAACATATGAAAGATTAATGTAATTGCAATATGAAGAGACTGGCTGGTTTGCTAAAGCACAATTAAAAGATGAAGACAATCATCTTACGGGTTTATTCTGGATAAGGCCCTCGCAAGTTGAACTATGAAAAAAATTCTGTGATATTGCAATTAATGATAACACTTCAAATACTAACAAATATCAGATGTATTTATCTCTTACAATAATTGTGAATAATTATAGACATTCTAGATTAGCTGCAATAGCATTGTTTTAAATAAAACAAAAGAATCATATCAATAGATACTTAATTATCTATTACATGTTACTGGTAATCTTGCATCGAAAGTATTATATACAGATGCAGATCTTGGTATGAATGCAGCAATTAATAAAGTTTTATCAAATACAAAGCATAATTATTGTATTTGGTATATACGTAAAAACCTTGAAAAAATTTAAAAGGCAAACTACATCGTGAATATAATAATTTTATTAAGGCATGGAATAAATATAGAAATAGCTTTTCTGAATATAAGTTTAAAAAATGATAGAATAATCTTCTTTTTAGTTATCTAGTATCACAAAAATATCTTGAACGTGCACTTGAAACTGATATTACTAGCTGGGCCTTGTGTTATACTTATAAATCATTTAATGCAAGAATTTAATCAATATAGTGTGTTGAAAGTTATAATGCATTAATTAAGTGATCAATTAAGAATTTCACAACATTATTTAAATTGGATACACAAATTCAATTACAACTTGACAAAGAAGAGTATTTTGAATGATTGATTAAAAATTTTTAATTATATATGGGCTTGGTGCTGCAAAAAGTAGATAAAATGACAATTTTGTAAAAAAT